GATTTCAATATTTTTGTTTCAAATTGATTTTGTTGCGTCTTTCACTTTAAGGCTATCACTATTTTTTTAGCGAAGATTATTATGATGTATTAAATATTTTTACTAAGTTGACATTTTATATGATACACCAAAATTATTTATTTTCATGCCAGAGCCGTGAAATCTCAGGTGATAGAGTGTGACCCAGATGAGGTGGCTCAGGCATGAATCCCAGCGTTGCATAGTCGATACGAATTCTGCACCCGGTTCGCACCGCAATAGTGACGTAAAATATCCTCAGTGGTAGACGGATAATGTGCTAGAATTACTGTTGCCGGGTTATTTTGGGAGGGTTTCGTGGTTTTCTTCTTAATTTAACGCAAATTCGGGTTGGTTCCATAAAAGAAGTCTTTCACAATGGCTAGTTTACAGTTAGCATATTCAAAACTCCAACTTATATCTATCTGCAGGCTGTATAATCAAAAAATGGTTTTCGTTTTCCTTTCTAATTTAAAAATAACAGATAATGTTGTTTTAAACTTGTACTTTAAAAGAAAAAAAGAACCTGTCCTGAAGACGTTTTGCTTTGTATTAAAATTAGAAGTATTAATTTTTATAAATCACTAGTTGTATAGGGTATCTCTCGAAAGTCATGAGCATTACAGAAATTGAAACTTGAGCTCATTCAACAATTAAGTTTAAATTTAATTAATAAAAAAATTCAAGGTAAGCATATAATCCTGTCTAGTATTGAATATTGAGTATAGTAAAGTGCGGCGTGCTCTCTGCTTTCGCTTATGGCACTGCGTTTCAATAGGTAAGGCTTAATTTAGCCTAACAAGATTTATTTGAGCTCTGAGGCTCTTCTTCAAATCCCAAAACAGAAAATCCTGTCTAGTATCAGCAGTTAGTATAACTTATTATTTAACACTACTTCAACTATTACTGAAGACAACCTAACAAAATGGATCCAAACAAATGCTTAACGTGTAACTAATTATTTAACACTACTTAAATTATTACTTAAGACAACCTAACAAAATGCATCTAAACAAATACTTAACGCAGTGTTATTTAACTCTGCTTATTCGATTTAAGACAACCTAACAAAATGAATCTAAGCAAATACTTAATAACCTAAAACTTATTATGCTTGGATTTAAACAATTTATTTTGCACCACATTTATAAGTAAATTGAAGAAAACATGCTCATTTTTTTCCCTCGCTGGAATGACCAAAAACGTCTAAAATGCTTGATTTTAAACATTTTTTTCACTTTCTTAACTAAACTATGACTAATTGTATGTTTCACACACATTTTCGCAATACCAACATTTAATTTTTTATTATTTAACTATCTATTTACTATTTTTGTACAATACATTTATGCAATTCGAGAATGAACAAAAATGTCGGCTGTCACCGGTATTGCTGGTGGAGCTTTCATACTAAATCGATAGCTTGGCTAGAAATGCTATTTATAGTCACNGTTTCAAAGTCCTCCATGCCCCATTTTAAATAGATACCTCCCCCCATCTCCTTTTCTACTACTTCTTTGAAAATTGTTTGTCAATTTGTCTTAAGAGATGCTCTGCACGTTTTCCGCAACCATTCCATGTCTTGCAGATGATTCCATCGACATTCGATTCTAGCGTTTGAAAATCGAGAGAGAAAAAAAAAGTGGCACTGCATGTCTCTCACTTGAAAAGCTGCAGAAAAAAAAGAGGATTTCGAGAGTTTGGTGTGGTTGCAAATAAGGCATTTTAAGATAAATTGAGTCACCATGTGGCACCTTTTTTTATTTATTTATTTTTGTTCTTAACTTAAGTTTGCAAAAATAAAAAAAAAGGCTTAAAGGAAATAAACGTATTTTTAGGGGTGTTTTTCTTATTTTAGCTGGGTTACAAATAATAAATTTATGAAAATTTTTCGAAATTATTATTAGTTTTTTAGTGATATATAAATATAATTTTTTTAATGGTATAGTTTTAAGAAATAACGTGTATGTTCATTATGGTATGTTTTTTTTTAATCTAAGCAGTTTTTAAATTTTTTCGGGAGGGGGGGGGGTTAGATGTATGATCAGTTTTAGTACTAGCTATCAATTGATAAAAAATTGGTAATTGATATAAGAAATGGTAATTGATTATAAAATAATTTATGTAATTAAAATCAAAACTAATGGAGAACTGATACCGAGTTATTTAGGAGAAACGTGAAAAATCGCTATACCATTAATTACTCCAGCGAGACTTAAGTAAATTTGGTTTTTAAGGTCTAATTGAAACAAAAAAATAAGCTATGTACTGAATAGCAAAATTAATGAAAATATACTTATGCGTTTAGGGGAAACGTAAAAAGTCTTCGAAGTATTATTGACACTGATGATGATCATTTAACTTTTGTAATAGGTACTAATTAAAATGAAAATAGTAAGCTATGTAGTAAAGGAGAAAATTAATAGAAAAATGGCATTAATTCGTTTAGGAAAAGAGCAAAAACTAACGCTAACTATTATTAACTCCAATAATGCTTAATAAATTTTGGGGATAGGCACTTTTGGTATTATGGCAATTGTTGGAATTTTGAAAGGTACGAAAGATTCAAATATAGGTACAATTACTATGTTTGGTACTTGTTTAAACAGCATCAAAACTGCGTAGTTTTAATATAGATGCAGTGGAAAGATGTTTTTTACGGGCTCTCGGAAGAGATAAGTAATAGAGAAAAATCACTTGATTAAGGGGTATTTTGATAACTGTAACTTGGCTTTGAGCAACAGCCTCATGTCAAAGACATCGAATACAGGGATTCTTTATTTTAATGGGACGAAAAACTCAGTAAGCGCTTTGCTTAATCGAATAACGTAAAGCAATCAGCAAGATAAAAATTAATTATAAATAAAAAAAAATAGAGTTATTTTAAATTTATTAATTGAATTTATTAAATATGTCTTTCAGTTGGCCGCGATAGCCTGGTTGGCAGGGAGCTGGACTCACGTTTGTGAGAACGGGAGTTCGAATCCAGCCGGTCGAAACTTCGCGTGTGACTGGTGCATATTAAATTGGTTGGGTTTCAAAGTCCTCCATGCCCCATTTTAAATAGATACCTCTGAGGGTACTGAGTAGGAGATTTATCGTTCTCTGGTTCAGGTCAAAATTACGATCTGCGGACGAATGAATGGATTCGCCCTATAAACCCATAATTCACGTTTGGGTGTGACGTAGGGTGTAACGTATGGGTGTGGCTGAAGTCAAATTCTTGGACATAGATGACGCCACAGGAAAGCAAGAACAATACCACAAGAACATAGCATTGTGTAACTACCCCATCTAATTATTGTGAGAAGTTAGTCATTTAAGGAACTAGTTTACATAATTAATTCGACAGCAAGCACCAAGTAAAATTGGAAACAAAAGTATTTATGTAGGCTGACAATCGTAAAAATTGTGATCTTTTTGGGAGGAGAAGGGCAAGGATGCTTAAAATGTAAATGAGAAATTGCATTTATCAAATTTTAAAGCCTTAGAGAGGAGTAAAGAGACCTTCAAAAATAATAAGTTCAAAACGAACCAAAGATTCATTCATGAGAAGTGCTCCGAAGATTTTTAGTCCAACCTCACTGTTTGCACGAGGTAAAGACAAAACTGATGGAGTACAAAATGGGAGCACGCGGAAAAATAGAAGAAATGTAAATACTACTTGGAAACTACTTCTTAAGTTCGGACAGTTTATAAAGAACTCTAGTTTTTTAGAGCAAATGCTTAAAAAACGAATTCTCCTACTGTGCGTCATCACATTTAAGTTTTGAGAACACTTTTTGATACTAAAAAATCCTTCATAAGCCTTCAACTGTAAACTTTCAGAGATTTAGAGTGAAGCCATCTGAAACCGTCGAAAATCATTTAAAAAGACTGAGATAATCTGTCCTAAGAAATCTGTCCTAAGAAAATCTGTCCTGATGATAATCTGTCCTAAGAAAGTATGACGACATCGAAAAGGTTGCAGTTATAAAATTCAAAATACATCTTACTGCAGAAAACTATCGAGCATTCGTGAAATTTCGCTTTATTGGTTGATATTTTTCGTTACTGTTCCTTAAAAAACATATATTTGCTACAATGAATTTGGATTTCTGTCCCTTAAAATATGGAGTGGAATAGAATTCAGGAAATATAGTGATGATAGTTTAGTCAAGACAGCTGTCAAAATTGTGAAAGTCGAAGGAATAATGTTATTAATGAATTCGTGAACTTTAAAGACATCAAACTACCAGGTTCCTTGATAGATATAAAACAATAAGTTTACAAATCTGGTAATAAAATCTTTTTGATGGTACAGGTTTAAAAATGTATATATTTATATATAAATATATATATATTTATATATGTAATACAAAAATTAAATACTTTTGTATTAATAAAAGAATTAAAACTCTTTCGTTTTCATAAAATGTCTTTGTTAAAGAATAAGCGCAGAGAGATTCTATTTTGGGAACTCAAGGCTGAAAACATACCATTGAAATATAAATAGATTTACATTTCAAAGGAAGAGTTATTTTTAGAATCTTTGTCTCTTTCACTTCCATATTAGGAAGCAGTAAATGATTTTCCTTAATGCGTAAGGTTACAAGGAATGTACGAAGTGTGCCTTTTTACCTCAAATCTGTGTTGGTATATAACGTAGGAACACTAGTGGTGCGTGTCCTTTTCATCATGATGTGATCCTGATAAGCTGTTCCGGAATTTTCAGAAGTCGTGTCCATCCCCCTCCCGTAGGGACAGTGGATGTGAACTGTTATCAATACCAGTTTCCATTTAAATAAACCTGTTTAGAACGTTTGATGGCTTACGACTGCATTATTTCAAGCCGAAAACAACACTGATAACAGGGATGTAGCCCTGTGATTACACACACATATATATATATATATAGAANGCCTTGTGATTATGACAGTAATCAAAAATCCTGGATGACAATTAAAATTTTTGAAACGTATTTGAAAAAATTAGACAGTAAGATGCGAAAAGAAAAACGAAACATCATAATCTTCGTAGACAACTGCGCTGCTCATTCCAAGGAGAATAAGTACACTAACATCAAGTTGCAGTTCTTACCACCAAATTCTACTTCTGTTCTACAACCAATGGATCAGGGAGTTATTAAGGTATTTAAGCAGCATTATAAAATGCGACTTGTGAAACGGATGCTGGAAGGACTTGAAAATACTGGAGAGCTAAAAAAAGTCAATATGTTAGAAGCGATTGAGTTAATTGTATCAGCATGGGAATTAATAACACCATCTGCCATTGCTAACTGTTTTCGGAAAGCTGGATTCTCTGACGGAGATACAACTGAAGAATATCTCTTAGAAGCTGAATATGAAATATCAGATGAAGACGAAGAAACAAACGTAAATTTTGTTAATGATTGGAAGTCATTCAAAAATAAACTTAATTTCACAGCATCGTTTGAAGAATATGTATCCGTTGACGACGAAATTTTACCTTGTGATATGCTGACATTAGAGGATATTTGTGATGTTACAAATGATACAGAAGAATTCAGTGAAACTGAAGAAGATATTGCTAAACCACCTAGCTTTTCTGATGCCAGGAAAGGGCTGGATACTTTTAGGAAATTTATTTACACTGTTGAAAATGTACCCCCGGAAATGTTTAAATTTTTACAGCAGTTGGACAATTTTCACTTAAAGGTAGGTGAGAAAAGACAAAAACAAACCACTTTACACGATTTTTTCTCACAGAAATCTAGTCAATTATTGTAACAACGTATATTACATTGTATGAAACAAAAAATAAAGTAGGTTACTTTGTTTTTATTTATTAGCAATTTTTTTTCTAAATGAATATTAAAATTCAATATTTATTTCATTAGGCTGAGAATTTAATATAAGTTACACAATTTCAAATTTTTTAGTTTTTTATTAATGTGTTTTTAAGTTTCACCGTTTAATAAGTTTTCCCGTTTAATAAGTCGTTTCTTTCCACTCCCTTGAAAAACTTCTTAAACGGGTTCTACTGTATATATATATATATATATATATGTATGTATGTATGTATGTATGTTACGGTGAATCACCGAAATCTGGAGAATGCCGACATTCACCAAAGCGACTATGTGATTGTTGACATTCACGTAGTCGCTTGGTGTATGTGCGAAATATTTGCTAAATACCCTTATTTCTGACTCTCACCGGTGAGTGTCAACAATCACATAGTCGCTTTGGTGAATGCCCGAAATATTTGTTTTATCCAATTTTACATTAATTTATTCGTTAATATTATTATATTTATTTGATATATTTATATTTATTCTATATTTTAATACTTACTGACGATAGATTAGAAGAAACATCAGTGTTTGGAGTATCGGGCAAATATATACTGGGCAGTGGCACTTAACCTTAAAAAAACATCAGTGTGGGGTATGCCGGGCAAATGATTAACTAAAACTAAAAAACAATCTTAAGTAGTTATCTTAACATTCCTTTTAGCCGTTTTCAAAACCATACGAAAACTATAATTCTCTTAATATTGTAAGAATGTAAACAATTTTGTACAGTTAATTTATATTTAAAAATTGGAATCCCAAAGCAATTTTTAATCTATCAAAGTCTTGTCGAAAAATTATCCAATATTTTACTGTTCTGCTTATCTTAACACTCCTGAAGCTTTTAAATTTCCTCCATTGACTTCATAAGTACAAAACACGAAGCTACTAGAAAGAGAACTCATCTCAACTTACACCCTACGCCCCCCTTTCTCCACAAAAATCGCCGGAAGAACACGTGACAGAGGGTGTTTGATGTTTTGGAGGAAGAGAAATGGGGAAATATAACAACGTGCTTGCTCGACTACGATTTCAGCTCTATGATATAACCAAATAAAATCGGTTTTATTTTGTGTGTGTTCCTTCCGGTGTTGTATTATTGTATTTTACTTTAGTGCCCTTGTTATCAGAAAACATCTTTAAAGGATAAACCTTGTTTGGTAAAAATTATTTTTTATTTAATAAATTTTTTGTCTCATATGTAGATGTAAATATAATTGATAATAATAATTTATTATGTTATAATATTTTATATTTATGTTATTACATTGTATTATTCTTTATTTTTATAATATCTTGCCCAAATAAAATATTAATTTATTATTAATAAGAAAAAAATGAAATAATTTGTACTACTTAATTTTCAAAACCCTATTTTCGATATGATTAAATATCATAATATATCTGAAAATTTTAAAAAACTGTTTCCATTAAAAGGTTTTAACAGGAATAAAAGCTTTAAACATAATAAATCTCTTAAAATTAGCAATAAACAATTTCTTTACTTAATTATCAGTCCAAAATTTCATAAAATTTCTAATTAAATTTAGAAGAATCACAAGTAACTCTAATAATTAAATAACTAAACCTAGCACCATTTTCTCTAACTACTTAAATAAAATGATTAACAATATTATTAAGGAAGGTCTTTCTTGGATTATCACTAATAATCAACCAATTTTAGAATTTATATAACAAAATAAAAATTAATTCTACTGCGACTTTTGATTTTTGGGATATTTTCAATAGCATTCCCTTTTTTAAACTAAAAGGTGTTCTTTTGAGTTATAACTATGATTTTAAAAATATCTTTAATTGCGATTTTGATTATTGGGAAATTCTAATTAATATTAGTTTTTTTTAACTAATTATCTTTACATTAGAAAACATATTTTTATTCAAATTGATGGAATACCACAAGGATCTAATTTTTCATTATTTTAGCAAACTTATTTTTACACTATTATGAAAAAAATTATACTCTTAATGTCAAATTTGCGTTTAGATTTATTGATGATTTAATTATTGGTAGTTTCAAGATTATACAATTTTGTTAAATAATATTTAATTTTGTAAATAATATTTGAAATTTTCCAGAGGAATTAATCTTGCTTCGTAATTATGATGATAATATTAATTTAAATTTTTTGGATTTCGGTATTAAAAAGAAGAATATATCTGTATTGTTGATTTATGCGATAGAAGAAATGACTTTAATTTTAATATAAATAAACTAATTACTAGGAATCTAATGCTTCTAAAAACATTTATTTAAAAACCATTTTTAATCAAATGAATAGAATTAAAAGAATATGTAGTAATGTTCATTTATCCAAAAAAAACAAATAGACAAACTATTTCAAAATGTGCTGAAAACAATGAATATCCAACTAATGGAATTAATTTCTGTATAAAATCATTGAGTTTATTGTATATCATTATTATTATTAATAACTTTACTAAAAACTTCTTGTTCACTAAATTTATAATTTTATCATGTGTAAATCCAATTCAGGCATATCCGGTGCTGAAAGTCTATGCAAACCGAGAAAATCAGGTTTTTTTTTAAATGAATGTTAATTTTCTAAAATCATTAAAATTGTATAATTGTATAAAAATTGTATAATATCAGCCCTATAAATTATGAATTTTAAATTTTCTAGTAACAAATAACTAACAAATGATATGCACTTCAGTACTGCAGTAAGAATGCGCTAGAAAACATTCCTCTATTAATGCTTCGAACCTTTATTTATACTTCTATTTTCATATTTTGTAATCTGGCAAGCTTATTAGGAATATATTTTAAATCATTCTTTAAAGAATCCAGAATGTGTATTGCGTATATTTTATACTTATTTATAGGTTCTATTTTAGTTTTAGTTTTTTTGGGTGCTCCTCACACTATTGTATTGATATATTTTGCTTTGGTTATATTTAATACAATATTTGATAGCACTCCTTTTTATGGATATATTCGTGTGAGCTGATGAGGGGATTATATTTTTTCACTATTTTGCTGGCTTTTTAATTATTTTATACTGTTTGGAACTCTGGAAAATCCAAGAAAAGCTCAGGAGCTTTGCTTTTTTTTAAAAAATGAACATTATTTAGGGAAAAATATAGAAAGATCCCTAAACATGTCGTATTCATAAGATAAACAGGGAAAAATTAATACTAAAAGATTCTCCTCACTGAGGTTAAACTACCTATACACATGCTCAATGGGACATCAACATAGCATTTTCCGAATCATTAACATAGAGGACAATTTCACATAACTTTAATGACAAAAATTTCAAATTTGCACTAACCATAAAAAGAAATTAAAGCGTCTATTAAACTAAGCATGGATTGCAAAGATTTCCGTTCACTTCTATAGATGCACGTGGTTTCAAAGTTACACTTTTGTAATTAATCAAAAAAAAATAATATATAAATAAATAGTAGGAAAATAATTAATGCTTAAATTATATAAATATATTTTGCTTGCATAAATTAAAAAAGAAAAAAACAAATTAATTATTTTTTAACAGTAAAGTAATAAATAATATAATGAACATTATTATTTCTTGAATATTTCTAAAGAATTTCTAAATTCTGAAGGGAATTTATCTTTTGTGATAGTTTTGAAGACGCATTGTGAGAAAGAAAGATAAAATTTATGTATATGTAAGGAAAAGTTATTTCGGAGCTTAATTTCAATTTTAGCATCTTAAAATTCCATTAATATTTTTGCCCTAAGCTATTTAATTATTTTTTTCGTAATTAAGTATTTTTTCCAATTCAATCCTTTACCGAGAATTCTTTTTTTAATGGTTCAACGGAAAAAAATTCAAACTGTTTGTTTAGAAACTTGAAATTTATTAAACTTATCGAAATAGTGCCAAACATCATTTCGTAATTTTTCTTAACTTTCGTAAGTATACATGGAATTAAAGTGAAACAATATAAAATTTTATTTATATTCATTTTATTTATATTCATTTTATTTATATTCATTTTATTTACATTAATTTTATTTATTAATTATAAAATTTATTTATATTCATTTTATTTATTAATTATAAAATTTTATTTATATTATTTAATAAATTGTATTTATTTATTTAAAATTTAGTAAAATAATTTTGAGCACTAGAACATAACTTTATTCAATTTAGGTACTTATCTGAATTTTTAATAGAAGAGAATTAAAAAAAAAAGTACAAGTTATGGAGTCATAACATACATAACTATAGCTCTAGTGGCTTATTTACGAACAAGAACCTCCACTAGATTTACATGGTTTATTTTTTTATCTAACCCTACCTATCCCTACCTAGTTTAGATTCAACTAAAAATGATTAAATAAAATAAATACCAAATGACGCAAATATTAATTAGTGGCTAGATAAATACCATATTTTCGTATGACAGGCGAAGTATTGACTGAAAAACTTTTTTTTACAAATTATATTTTGGAAATCATACTTAGTGCCCATATATATTCCCCAAAACAAGGAGATCAGATTCGTTAGTATAAATAAATCAAGTAAAAAGTATACAAAATTTCAAAAT